CAATAGTGCGTTCAAGTTGATACGTGTTCGTTGTGAGTTGTCAACTCTGGCACAAATTGTTCGAGCGACATTTTTTGTAAATTACGAGGTATCAATAGAAAGATTCGGCGCTTAATTTTAAAATTTTTGATGTACATAACTCATTTTGTGAAAAAATGTGGGTTACGAGTTGTCAACCTATGACCATCGTGTGGTTTCATGCGAATATTAACTAACGTTCAAATTATTTTTGTCTTGCTCTTGAAGTGCATAGCAGTGGGGCACTCACCCCATCGAATTAACATAGTTATCTGATTCGTTGGTGTATTGTTTGCGAACAACAATGAACTTTTCATATGAATAAAAGCATCGATATTCGATGCATAAGAATCGCCATTTAAGTATTTGAACTCATGTGAGAAGACGGTATACATTATTATGGCCATCTTTTAAATGCCCGATGCAGCACAGACAGTTTTGATTTAAATGTACCTACCTACATAACTAAGTACATTAACTAGGTAAAAATACTTTGCAAGTACTAAGTTGGTTACATACATAATTAAGTGGTACCTACTACATCTTTGGGAGACAATTAAGTACACTTGGAAGTCGACGTTTTGTAGTTGAACTGACCTTGGCAAGTGTAAATGTCTAACATAGCTGGGCATGAACTCGTTAATCCGTTAATCGTTAATTAATGAAGTTAACATTTTGATTAACGGATATACTTTTAATTTAACTTTTAAAAAAGGTAATGGACACGTTAACTTCCGTTAAAATGCAGAAGTCCGTTAATAGTTAATTCAATGCCTACTTTTTACCGCACGGCACCGCGGTGCGGCGCGAAAAACCGACAAGTATGATATGACAAGTGCCGGGCGGCGGGAATCATTCGGGATTGCAGCTACTGGCAATGGCAAAAATGTAATTTTACACATATTAACGATTAACGTTAACTTGCGTTAATTCTTCCGAAATGTAACGCTTTAACGTTTAAGGAAGCTAACTTTTTTTGTAGGGGATTAACGAAGTTAACTATTTGATTAACAGTGCCCAGCTTTGTCTAACTTTACGTTCAATCACCTATGTATATATTTAGGTACTTTCCTTCCTCGCATTTGTCTTGACATTAAACAATGCACGTTTCTAAGCTTTAAAATCAATTACAATAAGGTTGGTGCGTAGGTTTAATAAACTGGTTAAATTACATTATTTACATAAAAATATCAAAGTAAGTAGGTGTAAAAAATAAATAGAACAGAAAATATGCTGCGTCTAACCGTCAAGGCTAAAGATTGAAGAACATATAGTTCCATTCTAAATCAGAAATCAGTAGATATTTCAAATAAGACGATAAATAATAAAATTTGACATTAAGTAAAAGCGCGGGTTACTCACGTGAATATACTGAGAAAAGCTCTACTAGTTTCGAATCACAGAGTGAGTTGCGCGACGTCGCCGCTACCGCGCACGCTGCTCATGAGGAAGAACCCCTCTGTGGTTTTACTTAATTTAGTATGTCTCACGATATTTAGCTATTATAAAAAATTATATATAACCATACGTACATATCTACCTACTTATTTAAATATAAAATAGTTATAATACGACAAACATCTAAGAAGACTTCGATAGATAGCTATAAAAAATACGTATACGTATAAGTACCTATATATGTATACGTAACATCATTAAGTGATAAGTCTCTAGATAGTAGGTATAGTAAGATTTTTCTTGCTGATACATTAATCAACCGCTGCTGCATTAAGATCGGGGCTCCTACCTATTCTAAGTATTATGTTACAGGAGAGCTCAGTGATTTCATCATTGGAGTTAAAAGAGACAGAGACTACGCCTATTGAAGCCCCCACGACTGAACCAGTGACTCCTGATGCCGTGGAGGAAATCAGAGAGTGCTCCGCAGTGACGTTACCATTATGCTCACATCTGCCATACAACAGCACATCATACCCTAACCTGGTGGGGCACATGTCAAAAGACGCACTGATGCGAGACCTCGTGGCGTTCAGGGAACTTCTTGATGCTGAATGTTCACATCTTGCACAGGTACAGAAGTTCATGATTTTGCAATTGTTGGTATTGTAGTCACATTTGATTCAGGTTTAACAAGTTTCAATTACCAACAGTCCAAAAAAATGAATTTATTACCACTAAATTCAAATGTCAACTTAATGGTTATATTTTGTAGGACTTTGTATGTCAAATGCTCCAACCTCGGTGTTCGGAGGACCGCCTAGTCCGGCCGTGTCGAGCTTACTGTCGTGCCTTCCACGCTGGCTGTGGTGCACGTCTACCGGACCGACTAAGACCGCATTTCGACTGCGCACGATTCCCCGACTACTTCGGCAAAGGATCCTGCTCCCCTGAACCTGGTAAGACAACCTATCATCATTGAACGTATAAATATTGCACAGACATCTTTCCAAACCTCCAAAACGACACAGACACACACTTTAATATTTTTTTTTCCTTCAGAATGTTCTAGGGGTTTGCAAAGACTAGCGCTGTCTCGCAGAGAGTGCGACGGAATTCCTGATTGTGCGGGTGCAGAAGACGAGCGCAGTTGTGCTCATTGCTCTGGAGCAGGCGAGGGAGGCCTGCGCTGCGCCCTGCACACTCGCTGCCTGCCCGCGCACCTGCGATGTGATGGTACTCCGGACTGCCCTGACGGAAGTGATGAAGCTGGATGCTGTATGTTTACTTAAGCTGTCTATTTATTAAAGATAAAGATAATTTATTTGCATAAACATGTGTCATTCATACAAAAGCATGCAAGATGTTAATTGTTTAAAATCAGTGTCCAATACTTGTTTTGCCCCTAGGGGCGTACAAATTCAATTTATAATAATTACAATTCATATTAAGATGTCAAAAAAGTATTATTAAATATTATTACGGTCTACATTTATTAATACAGTGTCAAAAAGTAGTGTCAGCCACAAAGTCATTCAAACAGTTAAAAACTTATCCTTGCATATTACCAATCCAAATGCCCCTACCAGTGCAGTCTGCACCGCGAGTTGAGTTTAAAGATCATAATTATGTTTATAATTTATTTTATAGTGTGGATTGCTCGCTCCCTGTCATCTTGGCGACGTGAGAACAGTGAAACTACCATGGGTGCCGTACGCAGCCGTAGCGGCTACGCGGTGTGGGCGGAAGGCGGTCGCGATGGCAAGATCTGCGCGGCGCCCTACGAGCACGACAAGCGCGCGCTCACCAGTGTCGCTGCTTCTCTTTGTAAAGCGCTTACTTTCAAGTAAGTTTATTGCATCTTATTTAATAAATCATGACAAAATACCTATCTACGTCACCATCTTACTCTTAGCAGCGATTTTCATCAATTCAATCCATTGCCGAAAATCACCGATGTTGAGTGCGTGCGGTTATCTAAAGATTTGGTAGGTAAATCCATAAATAGGCAAATAGGTCAACTACAATAAGCTGTAAATAGGTACTTAAAAAATAAGTTCAATCTCTTCAATCGTTTATAATTGCCATGCTTCAATGCATTCATCAAATATTAGGTAACAAAAAGTTGAACAACGAAACAACACAAAGCGAGGGCATTATCTGTACGTACTTGGAGATAACGATGTGCTAACAGTAGCCACCTTTAAGGTGCCAATCCAATACAAGCATTATTAAACATAGACACATAGGTAGGTTCATAACACCACGTCTATTGTTCCCTAAAAGGGTAAACAAAGGTGCACACATCAGTAGATATTTGGGATGAAACATTTTTCGATAATCCCTATACTTTTTTAATTAATTTCATTAAATGATAACTAATTCACAGGGCTGCATTTAGCGCAGAAGTAGTGCCAGACGCTGAAGAGGTGGACCAGGATGGACCAGATCCAAAGAAAGAACAGCCCCAGTATGTTGAAATAGTAGACCCATTCGCTCCAGAAATATCGTTCCTGAAAAGCGATTGTCCGGAAAGAAAAGTTATAAAGATCATTTGTGACCATTTGGGTAAGTGGAAAAATAAAGCTGCTATAGTGGAACAAGATAATCTTAGAAATAATTAACAACTTTTTGATTAATTAATATAGAATGCGGTGTAACATCGGCTCGGGGTGCTGCGTCTGCGGGTGTGGAAGGACTCCCGCGCTCCGCTCGGCCCGGCGACTGGCCGTGGCACGCTGCGTTACTGCGGACACACGTGCACGCCTGTGACGCTGCACTTATACACCCTTCCTGGCTCATCACTACAGCTTCATGCTTCCAAGTTAGTATGCTAAGTTTTTCTAGTTTTAAACTGTCAAACACCAAGCGGTCACCGGTGACCGCAACCTATTGTTCTATAATTGTGTCTATAATGACGGTACTCGACGAGTTAAGTCACTGGATTATATACCTATCTCATCAATTATAATGCTTTGGTCTTCTTCGTGGTACTTTAGTACCTAAAAAGTTCTAACACTAAATTATTGTTACAGGGACAACCGAAAGCTGAATGGACTGCCAGGTTTGGTACTGTGCGTATACAAAGCACGACACCCTGGCAACAGGAGCGACGGATAGTTGGCATGGTCCGATCTCCTGTAGAGGGCAGCATGTTGGCACTGGTACGACTGGAGGAACCAGTGGAAATGACTGACTTCGTGAGACCTATATGTTTACCTGAGACCGGTGTAGAAACCGCGTCACCTAATGTTTGCAACACGCTTGGATGGTCCAGAAATAAAGATCAACTGCAGAGAGTTCATGTGGTGGCTAGTCCCATGAACTCGTGCGAAAATATGAGCATTGCGACTGCAAATGGAATATGCGCTGAACCATTATACGATCAAGACGATTGTGACGTAAGTAATCATTTTTTAAGTACATAATAAAATAAAGTATATTTGTACACTTGCGTGTCCTGGGTCTATTGGCCGTGTGTGCGACCGCTAACTAGGAATTTCGTTTTTTGTTTCTTTTCCCGGGTCGGTAAAGCTCCCTAATGTAATAAATTATATTGATTTTTATTTAGTTTTAGTTTAGAATTAAACTTTGGGGCACTATTACGATACACTTCGTCTAATACAATATTTTGTTTTACAGGAGGAGGAATACGCAGGAAGTTCAATGATGTGTTATAACGATAAAACAAAACAATGGTCCTTGAACGGTGTCAGTGGATGGCGCATTGCCTGCTCGAAAATAGGGCTGGGCAGGCCTCGGATATACGACTCCATAGTTTCTCACGTCGACTGGATTCGACGAACTATCTCGAATTCAGCAAGATGACCTAATTTATAATCTCATACATTTGTAAAGACTGCATTTCATGCTTTGGCTGTATAATTGCTATACACCTAACAAAAATTCTTGTGGAAAAGATACTATCAGAAATGTATTTATTAGCTAGTATTAAGATTAGAACTTGAAATGTGAAGCATTCTGTAACACTACAACTATAAGTTCAGTAAATGAATAATTAATGTGATAAAATTGCACATCATAACTTTATATAAAATGCCCACAATACTCAAAACCTGAGACCAATATCATTTCTAGGTGTAATGTTATTTGTATTAGTTTAAGTTGTTAATAACTATGTATATTTTTATAGTAAGAAAACTGTTTTATTCTTATATTTAAAAGATGACTTAATAAGTGCCTATTGTGTAGTTATTAAAATTAAGATAACTTATTGAATTAAAGTTTATTGCTAGATAAAAGTACCTATTGTAAATATTATTATAAGAGTGGAACCAAAATTTATAGCTAAGCTGTATTTCACAAAAAAATATGATTGTTTTATTTATTTTGGTTATTTTCTTTAGCATCCTTTCACCACTAAAAGTACCGGTATAGTAATGCATAGGCAGTGTAGTAATAAATAATATTCAAAATTTTGAATTTAAACATCAGCTCTTTGCATTTGTCATTATTTAATCATTTTAACTGAGGTATAAAAATAAAATGCTCTCATTCAATTATCAATTGATCTTTTACATTTTATTTACACATAAATTATTAAATAAACACTACAATTAGTTATTCATTCTAACTTTTACTCAACACTCCTTCATCTTGCAATTCTTTTCTAATTTTTTCTTGAACATTATCTGGCAGGCTCTTGAGTTCTCTGTTAATATAATCATTCAAATCTCGTAGAGGTTTATAGTACTGATGCACAATTTGTGATCCTGCGAACATAGATATCATAGCCGCTGATGAAAACGCTATGTACTGACCCCAAGTCACTCCAGCCGGCATTTTAGGCTGCAGCGTATTTCTTTATCTTTTCTTCAACAATGTCGTGAGCTTGACGTCTCTTAAAACTTGTGTAAAAATTTACTTCTCCAACTTTCCAATTGATCATAGAAAACTCTAAGGCAGCTCCAAGTACGAAAAACATGGGAAGAAACCTATACATCCCAAAAGTTTTTTTCCCGGGCCATTTGTTAACTACTTTGTGAACCCAGCCTATTCTCATTGAATCTGATGTCTTTGTAGCGAACTACACAAATATTTCAATATTATGTAAGCTAAAAAAGAACAACGAAATCCAGGAAAGCAAAATATAACCTAAAAATTAGTAATTGACAAATGTCAAAAACAGCTAATGTTAGTAATGTCACTCATTGTGATTTGACAACCCAAAGGATTAATATCGCAACTAGTTTTAACTCGACGGTGCATCAATCTGCCGTTACCACTCGACTCTGGCAGTATAGTCGACAACATCGTATTGGAAACTCGGTTGCCAAAGGGAGAAAAATTATCACACGTAAGGATACTGTATCAAAATTTCCAGCACGTATTTATTAATAATTATTATATTCTGTAATCATGCTAAGGAATTGATGAAATACTGTAATTCCAGTTAACTTCTGAAACTCATATTTTATCTGAGCACAAAATGTGCCATTAACAAATTATTAATGCATAAATTAATTCATAATTTACATAATTTACACAATTATAACATTTAGTCAAACATAAATAAGAACATCCTGCACTCTACGGTTTAAGCTACTAGTGATGACTAGTGATGGAAACAGAGTGGCTAGCACGAAAACTATCGAGAAAGTATTCGTATCGAGATCGAAAGCATTTTCTATGGGATTTGTACAGCGCCCCTACCGTGCGTAAAAGGAACTACACGACGCAAGCACGAATGATTTTGACAACTATCGTATCGTAATCGTATCGTGTTGCTATCGAAACTTAGAACATTTTGACACAAATTGGAAGCACGAACGATCTTTTGACAAACGGTAACGTAAATTTCGAAGGCTGGCTATCGAAAACTGTCAAAACATTTGTCACTTAGAATTTGCCGGTGAGAAAGGTTTCGAAACATTTTAAAATTAATATTTTGTGACAATTATAAATTAAAATGAACTAAAACAAGTATTGTGCGTATGAAATGATTCATCAACATCAATGTTTTCGGGAAACATGGCAATAATGATGCAGAGAATGCCACTCGTTGTTAAGTTTGTCGTCGTGGATGGATAACCATTAACAATACTTTTGGACGATTGAAAAACCGATGGTGTTGTTTGTGCA